CCAAAGAGACGTGCTGCTAGAAGTCCGCAGAGATCAGACAACGACCGACGGGAAACTTTTTCCAAACTTGGACATCGGTTCAATTTAAAGCACATTTGTACATTGCGGACAATCGCTAATTTAAACTTGACCTGTTTTCGATAATCGATGGTAATGTTCACCCCCGCAGCGTCGCGAGTTATTCATGACGGCCAGACTTTGCAAGAATGTTTCTCCAGCTCACATGCAATTTTTTGCTTGCTCATTCGAATGATTGAGCACAGATTCATGAATGCATCGTAATGACTGGACCTGTCGTAAAGAGGTTTGGTCATTCGAGCAGATTCATTGTTGAAACATTAGGACGAAAACGGCAAAATAGCGAAGGTTACTCAAACATGCTAAGGTTCTTGTGCATTCACAAATTATAAAGTTGAGTTAATTGAGTAGCTGGCTTCAACTGTCATGAGGTAATTAATTTGTTTTCACATTACATATGAATCGTTTGCCGAGACGAAGTTCGATTTTGCATTAAATTTTGAACGAATAATTAACCGTCGCTGTTTTTACCATTGACTACTTATTAACCAGGAGCTCATACCCATCTTTTGTTCTCCTCCTTTATTCCAGTGAGTTAATGACTGACTGCCTGACTTAGTGACTACCCGCTTTTCAGCTGGTTGTAGCAAAACAACACGAGGCAAGTTACTTAATTAAGTGAATTTGCGGTTAAAACAAATTTTGCTTTTCGGCGTTCCATCCCATCATCTCCAGAGTTTAAAGCCTACTTCTTTTCCAGTCGGCCGCTGCGCGGAATCACATTTTCTCAAAACAGAGCAACTTTCAGAAGTAGCGATAGAAAATGCTTGTGGCAGTTGCAGTCATTCATGTTCACGTTTTCAGTAGCTTCTCTGGTCGACATTTAAACCGAGAATAACGGTCTTTACCCAGACCATTATTTAGGGCCTGTTTTGAACGAATTTAATGCAGAAGCCTTCGGATTTGGCCATTGAGTGACTATGGTACCGGTCTTTTCGGTTGGTTTCCGTATTCTTCATTTTGTCCTTCTTGTACTCTGTCGATACGCTTTGTAATCTACATATGCATTACCTGTTGACCAGTCAACAGTAGCGCAAAGACAATGTGTATGTGTGGAGGAAAAGGTAAAAATAATGACTCAGAGAGGCTGCCAGATGCATCATTGCCGGTCAGGCTGCCTCGATGTGGTGTTATGTTCAAAGGTTAGGTGTTCCAGGCACGTAGACTTTTCAAATATCCTAAACTGAGAAATAAACACCACTTTGGTAGTATTCAATCTAACACAGCTTTATTCGACTATTACTTAACATCTATTGTCTAACCACACTTCAACCTTGTGTCGATCTTCTCCATCCTTTCGCCTTTTACAAATCAGACGCAGGTACTTCATTCAGCCCACTGGGCAGTACAACTTTGACGTTAAAATCACTATTGATCCACTTCACTTGTAGTCATTCTTTCCATGGTCTTACAAATGACCATTCTCTTCATAAGGACTGGTACATGTCTGCGAATGCGCTTGGATCTCTGCTCTTGCACACCTCTTTGATGTGCTGTGTTGTTCGGTGAATGATGAAGCCTGCTGCACTGTTCACTCGTCTGTCGCTTGTCTGCGTATCAGAATGAGTTAACCCGCTCCTCCTTTCGTCCAACTTTTCTGACTCAAACAATGTCCCGTTTGATTTTATAAGCTTCTTTCAGTTCTTGAAGTCTTACTTCCCGAAATGTATGTTGTCAACATTAGTAAACCACAGCAGCTCTGATTCATAACCGTGGTTCTTAGTATTCTCTGCATCCATTCCTTACTCGATGTTGCTTTCGTCAACAACAAGCTAAGCCACTGGTTAAGGGAGCCATGATTTTAATTATGATTTAATTTTGAAAGATTTGGCCATAACTCTCCACGCTTCCCAGGAAGGTTGTGTGTTGCTTCCTCCGCCTGATCAGGTGTAGCTCAAGATTTCAAAGCGTAATTTAACATGCCAGAGCCTAGAGGATGAACTGCACAAATTGTGCATCGTTTTGAGAACGTGTTATCATGCTCCTATCATTTTGAGGTAGTGGAAGTAAGACTTTGAGCGAACTGTCTAACCGTTCAACCTTAGTTGTGGAAAATGCTTTTCAGATCTGAACGTCATACGTTTTGATTTCAATATTCGCCCTGTCGCGGAAAAAATGATTTATTTTTTCTGATTCTTTTGGTCTCTTGTTATTCAGTTCCACCCTTTCGTTGTTACTTGCTCGTAATGAAAATTTGAGCTCCTTCGTGTGCTGAAACTTCAACTTTGCCTGTTCATCGCTTGCTCTCATCGCCTATCGGTACCTGTTTAGGCCCGTTCTGTGACCCCCGCCATTCCCACGGTGTTTGAAAATATTATTATCGACAGTGGTGAGAACAACGGCTTGAACTTCAAGGTTTACAGCTGCACAGCTGTTCAGCGTGCGATGAAGGAACCGCGGTACCCTTTATCGCGGTCGTCGTCTTGGGTTCCCACAGGCGTGGGTCTGTTGATAGCATCCATACGCTAGCACGAAGCACTCTACGAAGTCCTTCGGAATATCGAGACCTTCTCGCCTTGTTGAATCGTCTATCACGGTCAGCGTTAAGCATGATTTAAGTTAAATGTATTTTTGGAACATTACAACTACCCCCTGTCCCTATGTTACCAGCCGTGAAAGCATTGTCTAAATATGAGTATCATTTCCAGAGTTTGCCCTTCAATTTGCGTCCCTGCGGCAGCTGCCTCAAGATACTATGCTACTGGTCCCGGTAAGTCGTCAGCCGGGCAAGCTCAATGATCTGGATGCCGTCAGGACAGTCCTTCGTCATTCACGTGTAATGTCAACGCTGTTCTTAAGGTTCTATCTGCGTTTGCATAAGCCACTAAATTGTGTTTGGGTGGAAGGGCGAATAGCCTTTGTTGCGATGTGTTCCACTGTATGCACTTCGCCACTCTCATGGACTAATGAGTCTTTGGCCTATAATTTGTGGCAAATATCCGCGCCTGTTATACCTTGTACGAACACGGTTTAGTGCAGTCCACGGCGTAGATCTAAGCCTTGACCCTCACTGATAGATTCTTTAACGACGTCCTCTTTGGAAACGTCTCATCTAACGAATGATTCGATCCAGCGACTGCTTATGACACTCTGCCGACCATCAGAAAAGACCTGTGGGTCCAGGATGGCTTCCGTAATTTCGGTTGCAGAGGTGAGAGGCTCATTTCCTGGCAGATTGATGGCTTTGGATTCGCCACCTCTTCACTTACTTTCGAACGTTCGCAGTTCCCCCCCCCCCCCCCCCCCCCCCCCCCCCCCCCC